TTTATCTAATTATATTATTATCATTTGCACAGACTATATGAGAGTTTTGCTATTAAAATCGAGTTATGAACATAGTAAATCATATGATCCGTAACGTGATTTTAATAGCTTATCTTCCATATTATTTTCAATAAAGAATCATCATTGAGATTAAGTAATTTTGATCCTACAAAATAAATTCAGGAAATTAGCAACTAAGGTAAAAAAAAATAACCAATGTAATATTTTTCACTATATAATCTTCAAAAATGTCATGAAATTTCACGTAATATGATTTGTCACCAGAGAATTATCTTATATATTGTGACGAAAGTAATAAAAATGAGAAATAAGATAGTATCGAAGGTGAACGAAATCATTTTTTATTGGAGGGTTTATTAGGTATTTGTTAGTTTAGAAGTCATAGAAGATATTTCAATAGTTTTATGCTCAAAAAAATTAGTTTGATTAATTTAGAGTAGAATACTTGTTAGAATATTTTGAGGATTGATTGAATTATGCGTTTGCAAAATAAATATTTTACTTTTTTTTATTTGTTTCTCTTATCATACACCTCTGATATATCCAGTATTTTTATAATTATGATTCTTTCGCAGTTAAAAGCTAGATATGAAAGTCCCTGTATTTTTGCTAGAAATTATATTGCCTAATAATTAGCTGATCCTGAGTTGTGATATTAGAATGCATTAGCTCAACAATTAAAAAATAGTATATATGTACAGCAGATATCTTTGGAATTGTGTCTTCAGCTAAATTTATCATTACTGGCTGAGATTAAATACAGTGCTAAAAAGCTTTTATTTTACAATACATTCTATAAATACAAAGTTTGGGTATATAGCTTAGGATACATAATCATATTTTTTTGTGATACAGATAATAAGTTTTTTATTATTTCAGTTGCAACTGCTTATCTTCTAATTTTGCAACTTTTTCTCTAAGCTTAGTATTCTTAGCCTCAAGCTTAGCTTTCTCAACCTCAAGTTCAGTGATACGTTATTTTAATACTTCAAGCTCAGATATGATTGATAAAAATTTTATATATATATTTAAAATAAAAAATTATGTATGTATTACAAATTGTAACACTGATTACTTTTGCCAAGAAAAAACTATCAAGTATTTTATTAATACAGAGATGATTAGCATATTCTTATTTTTTTCAATGTAATTACACACCCATGTTAAAGCAAAGGTATTTAACGATTATAAGAATACAATTTAATGCCAAAAATAAATAACTATATAGCCTAATATAATTATTATAAATATAAATCCATAAATCAAAATTTAAAATTCAGAATATATCTATATTAATGATGCCTTTTTTGGTTTTTTTTCTTGCCTTTTTTCTTTTTTTTCTTATCACTTATAGGGTAAGAATTGCATACTTCTGGCGAATCCAAATATAAGAGAAAAGAAACTAGTTTTATTAAGACAAAGAACAAACAAAAATATGTGTAAATACTAGATAGCTCCCATATAATTCCGCCTGATAAAATGCCTCATGGTACTGGTTTCTCTGATACTACATTAAAAAAAATTCCTAAAAAACTATAATATATTGGTCATAGCATCCTATTTGAATACACATTCATAGCAATCTAAAAAAGTAAGTCACAGTAAGGGCGCTGATATATATTACGTAATATTTTTGGAGGTAAGAGAGTAGCAGGGGCTTCTAAGAGATGTCTTATGTTACATATATCACATGATTATTTGGCTTATGATAATAAGCAAAAAATATTTATTAATGCTGCAATTTAACACGTTCTTACTTTCCATTTAATACATATTCTCTTAATTCAAATGGAATGATATTTGATCATTGTGAAGGTAGAAGAGAAAAATCATTAAGCAGTTCATTCTGGTTCTTAAATTGGCCTTTAGGTTGTCCTCGAGTTGTAGAGTGTGCTATTTTCTTGTAGTTTTTTAGGAAAGTAAGGGTAGGAAAGTACTTCTGACATGTAAAACAACAAAGACGGGAGTATATATTTTTTTTAAGAGACGAACAGTAAGCATTATAGCCTAGGATTTTTAGACAATTATAATATTGAAGTAAATGAATAGGATTCGTAAAGTGTCCATCATTAGCTTTTGTAACAGGTGGTAAGAAACTATTGTAGCTTTCAAGAAATTTTATTGCTTCTTTAGCTCTTGGTAGTTCACAACAACTTGTATCTTTACATTTTCTGATATCAATGGAATATGTGCATAAATTGCAGTATTTTTCAATTCAAGACTATGGAATAAAGCATTCAGGAAAGGTAAGCGCTTCATTCTTCTTTTTTGCATTTTTTTGGTTTTGTTTTTCTTGTCTTTTTAATTCTTCAGCCTTTTCTTTTTCTGTACCTTTAAATTCTAAATTTTTAAATGGATTTGTAAATGTATCAATATACCGAGCATCAATGTATTTTTCAAAAATTGAGAATATCAAAAATTTTAAGTAGCCAGCTCGGGATTCGTGACATTTCCTTGCAAATCTAAATGTTTGTCAAAGTGGTCAATTAGTAATGTGATATCAGCAAGTTTGCTAGATAGTGTTGCCATGCTTCTTTTGACAGGGTTGTATTTAGATTGTCCTGATGCATGTATTCGTACACTCAGGTAATCCAATTTAAACTTTTTAAAAAGTTGACAGTATACCATTATGTTTTTCAAATGTCTGGGATTTTTGTCCGACCCTCCATCTACTAATAATAACCAAATAGGTCAAATTTTTCCATTGGTCTTCAATGCATCATCATATTGGAAATTTAAGGTAAGACTTTCTAGATTCTGCATATGTATTAGCGAGAATGTACCAATAGGCTATTGAGAATGTGTAAAAATTGCGAGTTGTCCTGTTCAAAGTTCATCTTTTAATTCATTTAGTTTAATAATTAGATATACTGAAGGAATTAGTTTCTGCCTACATCCTATAGGAAAATCGTGATCGGCTATGGATATAGGTTCATTAATTGATTACAAGGTTTTAAATGTTTGACCTACTGCAGGTACTCTAAGACACACTTTTGCTTTGTCATCTTGAGAAACAATAATGGACATATCAGCAAACATAGAAGCAAATTGTCTTGCATATTTGACAGATGCAAGATAATAATGCCTATCAGAATGCTCTCGAGTATCTGTACGTGAAACTCTAAATACAGCAACCCATGCCAGAACATAATGAGCATTAATAGCAATCGAATTGGATTAGCGAGGTAAGAGATAATTCTTTAATGTTGTTTGTGCCATATAAATATTATATCTCTCCTCCAAATTCTTATGCAAATTTTCAATGATGTGCATCTTTACTACCTCTTTTCACCTTTTTGAATTGGCTGATCCAAACTCAACTGAGTCGTGGATTTTATTGTGTAGATCTGGATGTTCAAAAAGTAATAGTGGATGGCCAAACTTATTGTACTGAACTACCTCTTGATTCTCGGTAAGTATTTTAAATTTTTTTACTTTACAATTTTAAGCATATTTTGCATTTCTTTTTAGTTTATTAATTTTGTCCTTATTAGAACTAATTTCATATTCAGCTTTTTCTATTTTTATATATATATCATGTTGAATCTGAGTGTCAGTTGTAATGTTATAAATTTGTTTTAATTCAGTAAGTTTTTCTTCGGTTATTTTAATCTCTTCTGCTATCTTCCTTTAAGTTATTGCATTCTTAGAAATTTCTAGTATAGGTTCGATTGGACTAATAATAGAAAGGGAGAAAACTGTTTCTAGTATAGGTTTAAGATGATTTGCTCTTATTGTTGGTATGTTATATGGGTGAATTAGAGTAGTGATGTATTTTCTAATTATATTATCAATTTCCGTAGCACTTTTGCTTTTAATGCTTTTCCATTCTGTTGCTGCTTCACGGTATATAATAGCATGATTTAGAGTACTATTTCCCGTTTTTACCATAGTACTATATACATAAGCATTAGTGAATTCCTGATACTTATTATCTGGCAAATTGTAAATTGATTTTTTATTAAATTTAGGACCAATAAAGTAGGTTTGACGACTTATTTTTCAAAATAAAAGTAGACACGTTTTTTTGAGAATAAAACTTATTTTTATTATAAAAGTGCGAAATATCAATACATTAAATTCTCTTTTATAAAACTTTCGTAGCTAATTATATTAAAATACAAGCCTTTCCGCAATTAATTTATATTAAAATGGAAAAGCCACCACAGTTAAATTTATTAAAAAGGGTATACCATTCTTTTTATATCAAAATCCCACAGTTTAATTTATACTAAAACAGAAAAATCCCATAGTTAAATTTATTAAAAAGGCTTTCGTATCAAAATGCAAACCTCCCGCAATTAATTTATATTAAAACAGCAAAGTTCCGCCACTCTTTTCATATCAAAATAGAAAAAAACCTCTGTTAAATAACTTGTCTTCGCAGTTAATTTATATTAAAACAGTAAAGTTTCGTCACTCTTTTCGTATCAAAACAGAAAAAAGCCTCTGTTAAATAGCTTAGTTTCAGGATACAGATTTTTTACCTATTGTATTGTTATAAATAAAAAGTCTAATGATTATTATCACATGACTTGCCTTAGTTATCTTATGTGAGAGTGAGGAGGTCAAGCTTTATATTAAATTGATATTACATAATAAATATCACTGCCCTAACAAGTCCCAATAATAATTATATGATTGAATCTATATTGTGCAATACTCATTACATCATTATAGATATAATCTTTTTAAAGATTACTGTTTTGTAGTTGTATATTAAGAGATTTTGCAATATGATAATAATCTGATTGATTCTTGATCATTTTGATAGCCACAATAATATTATTGCCAAATGAGTCATCTTTATTATTGTCACATAAAGAAAATATAGAGGCATCAGTTCTCCACTTAGGCATACTGTTTTAGAGAATAAGATAGCACAACGTTTTAAGGTAATCTTTTTTTCATAAAGAACTCTCTAGAATATTAACTTTAAACAATAATCTCAGAATTGTGAGTAATCTTTCAATCTTTTCTCAGTTTTGACATTTAAATACATTATCTTCATTACTTTTACTCTTTCTTTCGCTACTAGTTTTTCTATCATAAATACCTATATTTTTTCTTCTTTTATTTGTCCAGTCTTTTATGAACTGAAATCCCAAAAAAGTAATTCTTAACATTTCCTTTCTGAATGAAGAAATGTAAGAATTATTGTAGTTAGAAGATCTCTCTTTTTCTTCTCTATCATTTTCAGTAATTTGCTCATAAGAACTGACCACATTTTCTCCAGATATGTATCTAGATTTTTTAATTTCTGAAGATTTAACTTGT